TAAAACAAATATATTGAAGTCTGCGGTTTACTGTTTGCAAGTCCAAGGCAGAAAGCAAGCCACTTATGGCGGATTCATTGTTCTTTGGAATAATCTATATCTTTAGATCTTGTATAGAAAACATTCATCCCAACAAGCTGCCCTGCTTCATTAAACACGGTTGATCCTTGATGTTCATGTTTACCAGTTGAGAATTCATGTACGAATTAATTAGCGTCTTTGTTTATTATATCAGCTCCACTATGTTAATTCAATATAAGATAATTTCAATACCAGGTAACAGCCCAAAGTAAAAATAAAATATACTTAGAAAAGTTTAGATACTAACCATGCAATGTTTCCTGATATATATCTTTTATTTGGTATATTATAGTTATAGCCAATAGTAAATACTTTTTGGCCTTCCATGTCTTCATTGGCACTGAACTTCATAATCTCACAACGAATCGGAGTATCAAAAATACCAATAACAGTTATTTTCTTTCTAGTATTACATCTGCTCCAATCAAGTTGGTGTACAGTACCTAAAAAATCAACAACACCAACATTCTTAATTTTACGTCCACCACAATTTTCAATAAAATCACTAGATATCATAATAACGCACGAATGGTCTTCTGAAGCAACCATTATTCCAGTCCGAACATGTAATAATTGATTCTCTTCAGAATAGATTAGGATACAAACAATAGATTGCTGACAGATAGCATCCAAGCCTTTGATAAAGGGCAACGTATCATGTGCAAACCAACTAACCTGTGTAAACTTGAAAACTACCAATCAGGACCACTGGATGCTGATCCAATGAATGGAGTGAGAGGTGTGATTTTTTTGCGCTTAAGCCCCCCACCAGCCATCCTTTTTTTTGCGCTTAAGCCCCCTTACCCCATCCATTGGATCAGCATCCAGTGGTCCTGATTAATAGTTTTCAAATTTACACAAGTTGGTTGGTTTGCACATGATATGTTGCCCTGATAAAGTCTTCATAATTAGGAATGTTTGGCTAAAATTTCAAAAGCTAGACAGTTTAGTAAACTATAAATATAGGGTTAGATATGATTTTTCTACTGATAATTAAGAGATTTAGTTACCATGATTAAAGGAATGGCCTAGAAAACCCGACAGATCCTGGAAGCTAGAGATTATCTAGATCTAAAAAAAAAACAACAACTCACGTATCAACATTTAAGGGATGGACAGAGGAGGATACCTCATAAATAGATTTTTAAGGCATGCGTTGAAGGTGTCGGTCGACCGAGAAGTGAGCAACAAGCACAGTGATCACCAAACAACGGGGTTCTGCAACCCCAATGCGTAGCACAGATTACAAGGTTGTCTTCAACTATTGTATGCACTCAGCCCTTTTTAGTTGAGGAAAAAGTTAGAATTTGGCTATTGTAGCACTTTCATTTTTATTTGGCAATTAGTGTTCAATCATGGACTAATTAGGCTCAAAACGTTCGTCTCGTAATTTTCTACCAAACTATGTAATTAGTTTTTTTTCATCTACATTTAATGCTCCATACATGTATCGCAAGATTCGATGTGATGGATACTGTAACACTTTTTTGAACTTTTTTTGCAACTAAACACGGCGTCACATGCAAAACGGTGCATGATAACATCAATGGTTGGATGGGAAACGTGATTGGAACATCAGTGTATTCTGGACACGCACGGCGGAGGGCAGCGAGCATGATAACATTGATATCTCTGGCAAAACGTGTGCAAGATTAGTGTATATATATGCCTGCCAAAGGGCATGGTGATTGGATAGTTATATCACCGGGGAACGCAGGCGCAAAACAGGACTGGGCGGCTGTGAGCGCAGCGGGAGCAGGATGACATGAATATCTATGGTGCATCGGAAACAATGGCCAAACCACTTCATAGGTACATGTGCATGGGTATTTACTACTTTGTGATAAAATGGATTGATGATTGGAGTGCCAGATTACCGGGAACGCGAGCACAAGGCAGCACTGCACGGCTGTCATTAGTCCTCACAGCAGGAGCACTGAGCACAGCGACAATGATATCTTTTGCGTCGCAAATCCTATGGCTGATCCAACTTGCATACATGTGTCCAAGGATGAGTTGCACGTTGTGGTGAAAGGGTTTGACAACTCGAGGCTCTGATCACCGGAGAACGCGGATGCCACTGGTGGCGACGAGGCTGAATACGTGGCTAGCATCAGCAGTGAGCAGAGTGACGTCCATATCTCAAGCACAATGAATCCAATGGCCGAACTGGTTTGTAGGAGCGTGTCCAAGGTTATGATGCACTTTCTTGATGACAGGCATGGCAAACGGAGTGACGGATTGTCGGGGAACGTTGTTACCGTCGGCGGCAGCGCTACTGGATCGACGTGGAGGACAGCAACAACAGTGAGCACGGCGGCGTCTATATCTCCTGCATCCTTGCTCCAATTGACGAACGGTTTTGCAGGGATGTGCTCAAGGATGGGATGCACATTCAGGGCGACAGGTTTGGCAAATGGAGTGGCAGGCTAGCGAGGAACGCCGTTGGCATACTCGTAAAGGAACTCGTTTAGCACAAGGTTTGAGTCAAACCTTGGGAATATAAATCATGAATAACTCTCAAGTTGTTGAGTTTGAAAATGTGAAAATTATATGAATAGATTTGTCTTGAAAAATACTTTTATAAAAATATACATATATCACTTTTTGATAAATATTTTTATAGAAACAAGAAGTTAAAGTTGTGTTTTGGAGACCGTATCGCTGTCCAAAACGACTTTCTTTACGAGTACGGAGGGAGTAGGTGGTAGTGCCACTGGCCGCGAGGGCAGAGATGTGATTCATAACAAAAACTCGGCTGGAATCAACGAATCATCTTTTTTTTTACAACAATAAAGATATATTATATTATCACAATAGTTGTTTTACAAGGAGGTCCTCCGTAGAAGACCAAAATACATCAAAGTCCTGCAGCTGGATGAGAAGGCTGCAAAATCAACGACGATGGGGAAGACGAGTCCGCCGGCGGGGGGGGCGCAGGGGCGTCAAGGACGCATGCACCGGATGGATTGATCGCGCAAAGCGCCCGGTTGAAGGTGGGTCGGTTGAGCTATCGGTGGAGTAGCACGGCGATGACCGAAGGATGCTATTGAAGTCGTCATTTGGAGCTTGAGAGGAAGCTCAAACCAGGATCCTGTGTGGAGGCGGAGTCGACGAACCAAACACGGAAGAGGAGCCGCCTTTTGCTGAAGAAGATAGCACGATGACCAGAGGTTGCTGTATGGTGATGGATGCGAGCGGCGAAGGACGTGGATCGAACGGGAGCAGATCTCGACGGAGGCGGTGACGGTGGAAATTAGGATGTTGAAGAAGAGATCTGCCGAGAAGAAGAACGATACTAGAAAGAGGGGGGGGCTCCAGCCTTCTCCAATGAGCTCGCCAGAGGCGGAGAGAGGGGGCCGACTGGATCTGGACTGGCGCTTTCGAGGAGGAAAACGAGTTCGCTATGTCTCCGTCCGGGTCTGTAGACCCAGTCTCTGAAAAGGTTGTGAATCAATGAATCATCTTTGTACTACGGCACATGATTCATGATAAAGAATATGTGACAAGAGAGAATATAATTCTAGCATAGTGTCATAGTTTAGTATCTTAAGTTTAATCAATTATAAATTTAAAAATATCGATATTTATAATATTAAATAAATACTATTAGATTAATTATGAAATATATTTTTATAATAAATTAATTTGAAGCTATAAATATAAATAGTATTTACTAGTAGTTTGATCAAACATAAACTATTTTTATTGACACGGAACTCGTATTTGCATTCTTTTCTGGACAGAAGGACTACGAGGAAGGGTCCTCACATGGTGTTCTCGTAATGATGCCACCATCCATCATATGTACAACATATCATTAAATATTTCTATATACTTATTATAATTCCATCTGTTTTTAGGAGTAGAATTCCATCTTACTAGCAATAGATTTTTGCTATTTCATTTTTTCACGTTCCTTTTATACCTGTGATCCATGCAATGAAGAAATTCCCTGAAGCCATGTACTTCATCTCAAATTTTAAAATGTTTGACTTTTTTGACCGTAAGTTTGACCACTCGTCTTATTAAAAAATTTATGCAAAATATCACTTATTTTGTCGTGATTTGCTTTATTAATAAAAATTCTTCAAGAATGATTTAAATTTGACTATGTTTATATAAATTTTTAAATAAGACGAGTAATTAAACGTAAGGTCAAAAAAGTCAGATGTGTTATAATTTGGGATGAAGAAAGACACAAACGGCCAGCGGCAACACGTGGAGTATATTCATTTTCGAGTCTGTCTACTCAACAACCATGTGTTTTATGTGGTTTCAACACATGATTTTTTTTGCACCATAGAATTAAGATCCAACAGCCTCCACCCTCCTTCTACCTCTAGCCTTTAGCCTTTTTCTATCTCCAGACAATCACAAATCATAAGATCACAGATTCACAGATAAAAAACAATTTTTTTTCTATAGAAGAACAAATCACAGCAGAGGAAAAAGAGCTGCACGTTGTCGAAGCGACGTCAGAGCTCTTGGCCGGATTGGATCGATCTTCTCATCCTCTGTGCATGCCAACGTTGCGCTTGGCCGGATTGCACGGGCGGACGTCAGAGCTGCACGTTGCGCGGCGTTAGCAGGACGGAGGGATAAAAAGAAAAGAAAATTTATGTGTTTTTTTTCGCTAAAATATATGTATATTGTATAGCATTTCTGTTTTTAAATTCCCAAATCCACAGGGATCCCAAATCCGTATGGCATTGGCATCCAAATCCAATGATCCAAACCTCACGTGATGAGGGATAAAAAAACAACAAATCCCGCAGCTCCCGCTGCCTCGCGTTTCCGTTTCAAACGATTCAAACCAAACCGTCTTGGCCTCTCGGGGCCCATAGCACCGTCTCCCTCTCCCCTACCTCCTCCGTCCTCCGGATCCCAAAATCTCAAACGGGGCCTCAGATACGCGCATGGCGTCGCCGCGCCGCATTCCCTCCGTGCCTGCCGGATCCGGTGAGGCGCTCTTTCTCCACCAATCTCTCCGTCTTCGCTTCTGTACCCCAAATTTGCTAGGGTTTTCCTGCTCCAGCCCCAGTAGTTGTTACATTTCTTTGCATGGATGGCGCTTAATTTCTTCGGGTCTAGTGACTTGTGGTCTCTGGTTTACTCGCTGGGATTCACAAGATGCCTGACACTTGGGTTCTGCGTCAGTGGCTAATCCAGTCCAATGCGCTTGACCTTGTTTAGGTCTGTGCCAGTGTGCTTCCCTGCTACTGTTATAGTGCGAAAAACACGGTTTCGCATACTTTTAGATGCAGTGCTCTCCTGCTCCCACAGGCCCATGCTTGCTAACTTACAAAGTTCAGTTCAATAGGTTGTGCCCACTTTATACCATGAACTCAGGGATACCATCCTAATCTTAAATATATACTCATTATTGCCACACATAAACACAGGCAACAAAGAGAATATTTCTCAAGATGGAGATGCTCCCTTGGATTTTGCAACCTTGCCTAAAGAAGGGTCTGCCTCTACAAGGTGGAAGAAGAAGCCTGCAGGTTTCAACTTGAGGAAAAGCATTGCCTGGAACCCTGCTTTTTTCACTGAAGAAGGTATGGTTCTTCTTCGTCAACTCTGCGCTTTGGTTTGTCCTGGATCTGGTTTAATAGTAACATCAATGAACTTTGTAGGTGTTTTGGATAATTCGGAGCTTTCTGTGCTTACTGGCTCCCAACCGATGGCAAATAGGAGCCCTGGCTCAGGGGTCAGTAGTATAATGTCCCCATCGTGTCAGTCAGGGAGATATGGTAACACATATGTACGGAAGGAAGCTGCAGAGAATTCACATGGAAAATTGCCTGCAAGATATCACAGGGCAGAAAGCCAGGGAAGGAAATTGTTTTCTTCAGCAAAAACTCCTCAGAGGGACAAACAGAAAGAACCTGCTGTCAGTTCATCACTCAACACATTCTTTACTTGTTTCTTTTAAAGACACAGTTTACTTGTTATGGTTGTAGCACTTACAATCATCCAATAACATTGCTGTTTTCTGCCCAACCAATTGCAGGTAACTAACACAAAACAGAAGCTCTGCAAGAAGCATCCAAATATGCTCACCAAGAGTACCAGCAGGATCTATATATCCTAACGAAGTTTTAGGCAGGGTTGAGCAGGCCTTAGTGTTTTTCCCTTGATAACAGTAGGGTTGACTTATTTGTCCACACGTTGCCACAAGTTTAAGTATTCATTCATCACTACAAATGTTGTTAGTCTTAACTTAGATATACACAGAAGAAAGTACCAAACTCATCTGCTTCTACAGCTCAGATGTCAAGAATACCAAAGCAATCACGACCTTCTCTTCCTAAGGTTCCAAGAAGTACTTCATCTGCGACAAACAGTTTGGAATCACACAAAAAATAGCTCCAGGTAATCTTTGTATATGCCCTAAAGAAACTGGGTTTCTGGCGAACTCTGGAATTCTATTTTACCAGACCATGCAGGATTTCCCAGTGATAAAGTATGTTTATTTGACTTAGCTCTTGGCACTCATGTGTTGTTACTAGCTGTTTGATGCAATATACTGCTATTTTTTCAGTTAAAGCTGAGCTAGTTCACAGAGTAACTGGATTGCCTACTAGATTGAAGATCAATTCTGTATCTTCTGGACCTAGCATAGAGAAGGATGCGGTGAGTTATATATTCAATTCATCATAACTGATATGGTCTGCATCCCCACTTGTCCAATCTGCCTGCATCTTTTGTCAATCAATATTTAATAGTGTTCCTAAACAAAGTGTTTTCTTTTGCAGGTGCCTGCTGTTACTGGAGTACGTGAAGAAGCCAGTGCTTCTGTGAAATGCAAAAAATTCCACCACACCCACAAATTAGTCCATCCAGCCCCTTTGATAGCTTTTGCGTCAAAATTTGCTAAGCCATCAGCACTTGAATGCCTTCACCTTCAGTTGGTTTTTTCAATCAGGTAGTCTATTATGTCCTTCTATTTTTAGAACATTGCCTTATTTGTTGTGGTGTAATGCATTGGTGCATTTCCTATTTTCTAAAAAATATAATGATAAGCTGGCTTGATAGCAAATTTGAGAAATAAACAAATGTGTGATTCTGGGCTAAGTTCTTATCAAATGTATGGGGAAAATATGAGGCCTGGTACATGTGGAGATTTAATTATTGAATGTTACATAGTTATGCATAGTTGATTAATTGTGCAAACACATAGTATGATATGAAAGTTACCTGAAAAACTGTTTTGTATTTGTCAACATATTGTATATTAGCCTATTAGGTACCTAAGATTGCTTTCCTTTCTACCCTCTCCAGATATAGCTGTTGGGACTCTTTCATTAGTTCATATCAATCTGTTCATTTGTTGTAATCTTGTATCACTATCGGAAACAGAGTCCCTAGGGGATCAATATATGTAAATCCATGCGCCCTATGGCCTATCATGCTCACTCTTGCACTATTCTTGGTGTATTTTTTATTCGTAATATCTTATTCTGTAACTTTGAGTCTGTTGGTTTTACTTTGTGTTTTGTTTTATATTTTCCTGTGAGGGTTCATTTGTCAAATATGATTGATTGACTGATCTGTTCAGGAAAAAGCGCTTGTGTCACACGGTGATGCAGCTAAAAGAAACGTGGGGAGGTGCTTCTCTTCAAATACTTCAGCGCTTGATAAACCACCCAGATACAGGCAGTCTGAGGAAAGCAGACCCCACCTAACAAAGCAGCTGTCAACCAATTGCACTGCTGCTTCCAATCTTGTGCCACCTGTGACTAGAGAGAGCAATCTCAAATCTTTGGTGATTCCAGAAAAGGAATCGTTGTCAAAAGTTATTACTACATACATAGAAAAACCTGGAAATGTAAATAATCAAGCAAGGCCAAAGTCTGATTTCTCATTGGCAGGAACTGGAGCTACTACTACTCCGCAGCCAATGAATTTAGAAAAGAATGATGATGCCAGAAATAGTGTGCCACTGCCAGTTGTGTACAATGAGACATCGCATGTAGAAGGAAGGGGCGGTATCAGAGAGATTGAACCTCTTGATAATTCCGACTCTCTTGAAGCTATTTGTTCCTCAACCATTGAACCTGTTGAGGATTCGTTCCCTCTTCAAGCCAGTTATTCCTCAACCAAACCTATTGTAGGGAGTAAATTGTCACCCTCTTGCATTTCTTCTGAAGTATGCTCCTCTAGTGAGCTTAGTTATCAAGGCAAGTCAGACAGTGATTCCAGTGCAGCAATTGACTTGGAAAACTCTAATGTTGGAGAGACTGCACTTGGAGCTTCTTTGTTGAAAGGTAGCAGTTGCACTCCAACTCTTGATTTGTTGCAAGGATTTTATTCCTTTGATCACCAGAATATTGAATGTCCTATGCTAATGGAATCATTATCTACAATATGTGCAGATCAGTTGCCACATTGTGGCAGTTTAAGAGATGAAACGCCAACCCTAGCTGACAGTCATTCAGATTTGAATGATTCTTTGTGTGATGAAGCTAAACCAGCTTTGTCAGAAGAACCAAATACTGAAGGTGAAATGGAGCTTGAAACAAACAGTACATTAGATATAAAGGCAACTCCTTTGTTAGATGTGAGGTGTGGGCGTATTCACATTTATAGGACCACAGATTGTTCTCCTATGAAATTGGAAGCTTCTACACCTTGTGTGGAAAGACGGCATGCTTTATTAGTAGAACCAAATATTGAAGAAAAAATGGTGCTTGACACAGACAGATTGTCAGCTATACAGGATGCACCACATATAGAGTATGTCTGTTTAATATTTGACTGCATACATTCAGTTGACTTGCAACTGCATTTATAATGTTTCATTCTCATCTTTTACAGAAAGAACAAGGCACCAGACTTATCACCAGCAAATACAATCCTTAAAGATCATCTGAAGAACTTGGTACCATTTACAGAAGAATGGCTTGCTGTAATGGAGGCTCGTGGGCAGGTCTGCATACCTAGCTACCTAATAGAAGTAGTAAAGTACATGCTATTGTGACTTGTTAACAAGTGTAGTCTATGGGTTATTTTTCCCCTTTATTTTCATAACTTGCTACCGTGCTAATTTCTTTACAATCCTTTAGTACAGGCAGCACAAGTCAGGTTTCCAGTTTTTGGCCTTTGCTTTTTATATTTGGCTGCATGCCACTAATCCATTCTCCTGGTACTAGCAAAAGGCTTTCCATATTTCCTGGGTTTTGCTGCATTATATGGTTACTAGCAGTCCATGGCAATGAGCCATAATATTTAGGAACAAGGAACTGAATCAATAAATCTAACTGTACAGATCATTCAGTCTTTATATTTTCCCAGCAACTGACTAGCTGAGCATAGAATACTAGTGGTAGCATTTAGCAGCTTGCAAATTCCTTTTTTGTCACTGAGCTGAGTGTGATACATTCTTGTCAGGAAGTTTTGGAACAAAAGACTGGTGCTGTGCAAAATTCTCCTCCTGACAAAACAGCTCCAGAACCCAGTCCTTGGTCGCGGTAATGCTCTTGCAAAATTTCAAATTTGAAATATAGTTTCTCAAAACACGGAGTGGAACTTCATTGTTCAGTAAGCCATGATGTTTCATGTGCAGTACATTTATACCAACAAAAATTCTCATGTTAAAATCGACAATTTGTATTCACAGTAATCTGAAACTATTTGAATAGATTGATAGATGCGAAGGTCACCTTACCAAGAACAAAATTAGCTCAACCGATGAATGACTTCCTTACGAAACATTCATTCAGTGTATAATGTAACAGCTTTTCATTGCAAATCACTGCAGGTTAAGCGGAAAGCGCAAGATGTTGGACCATTTGACTGTACCAAGTTCTCCAAAACATCCGAACCTCTGGTACCTGACTGCAGACCTTGGACATCGCATTCTATCATGGTATAGCCACGGTGATAAGGTCAGGGCATCCGAAAATCCGGTACCCTAACTGCATACGTTGACCTTCACATTCTATCATGGTACAGCCACTGTGATAAGTAAGGTCAGGGGCTCCGAGGCTAACACGGTGTAAATACCTGCCACCGATTCTCATTTTGACCAACCTTACTGCGATGTAGTTCAGCAGCCTTGTTGATCTGCATTTGTCGCCTCCCCTTTTTTGTTATTGTGAAATACTGCTGAGACCACGCCCCAAGCAAACGCTTGGTAAACAAGAAGGGAAAAAAGCGAGAGAGGCTCTTTTGTGTTCATCTTGATTGCCCTTTTTTGGCCATTGGTAGCTGATTAATATTGATGTCTGAAATTCCAAATGGGATATCTGATATTCTGATCGAATTCCTCGAGAGTTGGGCAGGCCAATCCAGAACATTTTTTTTACATGCAAGCAGACTCCATTACTCATCAACCGGTGCCAAATCATTGGCAACCAACACCTGGATACAAGCCGGGATAGAATCCCTGATCGAGTTCATGTCTGAATCAAGACTAGCACCTAAACTCGCTAAAGCATGCGCTACTGAATTGCATGACCGAGAGTTATATGCTACAATTTTTGACACAAAATTAGAAGTTAATGCATCCTTGAGTTCCCAGATCAAACCACAAGCTGAGCTACAATCAGCGATTGTAGAGGTCACTGCTTGAACTACTGAAGTCGCATCAGTTGCCAGAACAATTTTCTGAATCCCCAATTCAGAAGTTCTTTGCACAGCCTGCCAGAACTTGAAGGCTCACGTCGGCAATCCTGCTGCACCAGCCACCAGAGACGCCTGCTTTCTGGTGAACATCGAGGACCAGGTGTGCATCTTGATTTACATCTTCCTGTACCTCGTCTCGTTCCCTTCTCCATCAGCGTCGTGTAGCTCTCAACATTGGTACCTTTGGTTTGCATGTTTTCTGCTCATCAGTTTGTGCACCGGCGGCGAGTGTCGTAGCTTGCTGCAACGCGTGTTCGATTGTGTTAATAAGACCAACAGCAGTCAGCTGCTGCTTGAGAGCACCTTTCTCTCTTCTCTCTTCGTTATTAGGGAGGTTACAAAACTTGTTGTACACCAAGGTGCTGTTTGGTAACTTGCACAGTAACACAAATGTAATCAAATTAGTTCATTTGTATCTGCGGCCGGTAACGTTTGCAGGCTTAAATTATTTTCGTTTGCAGGCTTAAATTATTTTTGTTTGCGTTACCTGCTGTAGAACCAAACAGCACACAAGGGGTCTGTTCGCTGGTTGGTGCTGGTTTAGGCTGGCTGGTGCTGGTTTTTTTGAGAGAAAAACATTGTTGGCTGACTGGTTTGGGCTGGCTGAAACTAACAAGCAAATATGCTGAAGATCAAAGCTAGCATTCCAACGGTAACCAAACAACTACCGAAAAAAGACTTTGCAGCCTCTCCAAAAGAAAACGTCCGTCATCAAGCAGACAAGCAGCATTCGTGATACTTCACCAATCACCTTGTATTGGAGAATGATACCGTGCCATGTGGTAAACTGGGAATTTACCAACTATAGTCCTTGCAAGTGAAATTATATGTTGTCCTAACCCTTTTTATACTCGTCAAGTACAAAACAAAGGAACTTTGTAAAAATGAGAAGAGGAAGAATATATAAGCACGTTTTATTTCCTCAAAATGTTACAGCATGAGTTTTATTTCCTCAAAATGTTACAGCATGAGAAGAAGAATATATAAGCACGTTTTATTTCCACAAAATATTACAGCATGAGTTAATCGTGGCATTGGTGACGTGCAAATACACTTGTCCTGTCGATAGTGATAGCGACTTTGCCACGATGCCAGTTCACTGATTCTGCTGCTAATGGCATTGGCCGTTTAAGAATGATCCATCTGCTCCGTCGGAGTCAGAGAAGCCTTCCTTGTTTGGGGTCGACGAGCTCATTTTCCTCATTTCATTCATTTGGAGATACCAACTGAAGCACGGCGCCGATCAAACAGCAGGGGCACGGCCATTAGGATCCGGCGGAGTAGGGAACGCACTGGCACAAACCATGTTGTAAAAAGCCACAAACATTGGAACATGGTTATGATCATAAATTTTTCGCATCATCCCAGTTCCATGGCGATCACATACAGTTTGGAGATACATCTGCAGTACGATAGCACAACATACTAGCAGAAATGCGCACTCATCTTAAGGGTGTTGCCTGAAACAAGAGGAAATAAACACACTATAGAGTATAATAACTGGCGTTAAGGTCCAAGGCATGGATCAGACTTAAAGATCCTCAGACTTAAAGATCCTGCATCACAACCAGTAATGGTTATTCCGTGTTCGATGTGCTTGGAGGTTTCTCCTTTGGATGCTTTGATCCGTAGTGATCGGTCAGCTGTTTTTCATTTGCCAATTGTACCTACGGAAATAGTGACGCCCGGTGAGCAGATATGTTCCTCAAATGCAACTAGCCAGGTAAAAAGTAGGGCATCCACATAATGAACCCACAGCTTTACTCCGTTGTTAAAAGGAATTCATAAAATATAGAAGACGAGAGCCAATAGTAACCAGGGGCGTTGCCTAGCAGCGGCCAAACTGGGCTCCGGCCCCCCTGCCGTGTGAAGTTTTTCAATACATGCATGTTACTTTACCAATGCATCTGCATGTTACCATGCATGCAAGGATCAAAGTTATCTCGGCGTCCAAACGCGGCGTAAGTTCTGCTCATGAAGAAGATGGGGTTCATGGCACCTTCAGCGCCGAGTTCCTCTCATGCCAAGCGCCAGACGACTCCTACTTCAAGGGCAACCTTTCGGCAGCAGACATCGAGGCTCTCGACGAGTTGTTCCCAGCATCCAGGGCGATGACTAGTGGAGCAGCTCGCTGGTCTTCGGCCATGGCGCCATAGGCCTGCACGTAGTTTAGGTTGATCCCAATGGATCCCATGGATGTCTTAGCCAAAATGTAGCCCTGGAGATATCAGTCGGGCGGGAGCGGCCTCTTTTGTATTTTTAAAACTTCTATCTTCTTAATACAATGATACACAATGCTCTTGCGTATTCGAGAAAAAAAAAAGTACACCTCTCTCTTCACATTAGTTGTATATTCCTGGTCTTAGCAATTCTTGAAGCTTTTTTTAATACACTTTGACTATATGTTCACGTAAATTGCTCCCCCCCCACGCCCCCCCCCCCGGTTCTACTTCACCCTCCGCCGCTGATAGTAACCTTGAGTTACCATATGAAGAAAGTACTGGGTAATGAGACAGTAGAGCTAAACCATGTTTAGACGAACCCACAAAAGGTTCCACAGCAGGGAATTCTTTCTAAAGTATTGGCTCCGCTTTTTGGGAAAAAAAGGTGATGAAAGTCTTGTACTCGTGAGATCAAATCATGCTAGGAGAAGGTTATGTGGCCACTTCTTTGTAGCACTAGCTTTATCTGTGGTGTGGTAAAGTGTCAGACACACTGGACAGTAGATTCCACTTCGAGTACTCTCAATCTCTCATTCTAGTCACGATGCCTAGTATCACTACTAACCGGTCACAATCAAGGCAACAAAGAACAATATGAGTACGCTGGAACAACATGTGTCAATGATTGGCCTACAAACTGGCTGATTAAGGAGGTTAGAGCAATACTGATGGTATATAGTATGCAGCAGGGCCATTTCAATTTGCTGGCACAAAACTTTCCAGATAAAGTGAGGCGCTAGATGGATGGATACTCTGCAGAGCAGTCCCTGCCAAAAGTTGAATAACTTTGGTCTTTATAAGTCGGTGCGCTGTGATGCATGCGGGCAAAGTTGGACAAATTGGCCGGATCTGCTGCCCAGGCAAACCCACCAGGTCCAGGCGATGGCTAGCGATCGGAGAGGGGCTCCGGCTTACGTACCTTGCAGATGGGGCAGACGACCTTGAGGCCGACGGCGCGGGCCTCGAGCTGGGACCCCTTGGATTTCTGGTTCCGCTCCGCGTTACGCCGCTGCGCGTCGATCTTCTGCTTCCCTCGCGTCATCCCTCCGCCTCTACCGCCGCCGCCCTCCCTGCGGCCACCGGTGGCTTCCTCCCTCCGGCGATTGGATTCGGATCGCCGCCCGCCCCGGCCCTACCCTGCCCTGCCTCCTCGAGCGAGTCTGGATGCTTCTTCGCTTACCTCGCCGTACCTTCCGACCCGGAATCGGGTGCCAGTGCCACGCCCTCCTTCTCCACTCCTGGGCTGCATTGCATTGGCTTGGCAGGCCACTGGCCAGTGGCCACCCCGTAGATAGGGATAGGGCCTCTGAGTCGGTCGGAAGCCCAGTAGGCCTGGCCCGCGCTCGTTTGTTTCGTCTCGTGCAACTTTTAACCCTTTTTTAATATAATTTTAAATCTAAGAATGTCGGGTTTTTTTAAAAAAACTAACACTTTTGGCTGCGCCTATTGCCCTGGCGCGGCCAAATGTCTGTGCCGCGCCATGCATGGTGGCGCGGCATAGGGCTGATGTGGCGAGGGCCGGCCTGGGGGACCGCTGACGTGGCAGGTCCTGCCGCGCCACCGACTTTGGCGCAGCAGTGCCGCGCCCTGATCTGTGGCGCGGCAGGACCATATATATACCGCGTGTGAGCCCGCCCGCCCGCACGCACCTTGCTCTGCCCACCCGCCCGAACGCCGCCGCCGCCAGCACCCTGCCCGCGGCCGCCCTGCCACGCCGCGCACGCGCCCGCCCGGCCTCCAGAGAGCAGGGAAAACAGGGGGCTCGGCTAGGTGGTCACTGCCACCCCCATGGCGGTGCCATGCACCGCCCGACTTTGTAGAAACCAGCTCCAAGGGGTAACGGCTCTATTTGCTTGTGTGGCTATAAATAGAGGGTGTGGCTAGCCTTGGCCACTCTTTTGACACCTCTTACACTTGTACACACCCTTTGGAAGCTGAGCAACACACTTCACTCACTTGTTCACTTGATTTCATCATCTTGAGTGAGATTGGAGTCTCTAGTGCACTGCATTGAGTTGCATCATCTTGTGACACTAGTTGGGTGATTTGGGCTGGTTGTGAGCTTGTTA